GTGTACACTACTCCTCCACTTCCTTTCAATAATAACAATACAAACAATCATAAAGATTTATTTACCTTTGATTGTATACTTACCAGTACTTTTAGTGGATACAAATATAAAAGTAAAAAGAGTAGTCAAAATAAGGACAGACTCCATTAGGTTCATTGTTGGATTCGTCTTATGATCTTTTGAACTGAGTCAGAAGAAGAGGGTGGACAGTGAAAAGGGATGGACATCGGGAAAGGGGAGGGTAAATTGAAAGTGAAAGTGAGATGAATAGGAGGCTGAAAGGTTGACTGTCATTGATATGACAGATGCAAATAGAATAGGGGGTGGGTGCGTATTGTCTATTATTAACCAAGTAAGTATGTACGTTGTTTTAAAAGTAAATGATATAGAAAAGATATATGTTCATGGAGTAAAAAATATAAGACGACTATACTGCTTCAAAGTGAAAAAGGAAAGACTGACAAACCTAAATACATATTGTTTATTGTGGAATTTGTGATAGATTTGCCACATAAATTCGTCATTTTGTTTCGTTCTGAGCATGCTTTATGACACTCACTTTATGTAACAATATAATAATAATGTGGCTATTATAATGCGAAGCCTTAGCTACATGCATTCATTTACATGTACACCCTCTACATAATGTTAATGGTGAATGATATTAAAATATTTGAAAATGAATTGTAGTAGTTGGCAACACTAACAGGTCCATAGCATAATATGACTGAACCATGATGTGACATATGAGGATATCTTAACTGATTTTATAGAACAAAGTTCTTTTTCAAAAAACAAAGTGAATAAGACTGCATAGGTCAATAGTCTATAGCAAGTTTGACCACAATCTATTGACCAGTTTCTGAGATTCACACTAGACTACAATCAGACTACTTATCTTGCCCTTGCAAAGCTTTGTGGAGGTACTTAACAACAAATGAGCAGAATATACGCAATATATACACTGTAGCAAAAAAATTAGAAAAAAATTAGTGTATTTTAAAGACTAAGCAAAAATTCAAAAAATAGTCACTTATTATTAAACATGTTCAAATTGTTACTTAGTACACACAACACAAGTAATAACTCTATTGCTAACATAAGGTGGACAAGGTAGACCATTACAGGTTGATACTGTGAAATAGATCAGAGCACCATCATCATTACCCTCACTGCCATCAATAGATTCAGGATTTTCATCAACACACTCATAGACTTTATTGCTTTTATAATCATAGTAATTTGTCATAAGATATCCTTTATATTCTGTAGTCCACGATGAAGGACAGCTGGTTCTAGCAGGAATCATCAGTTTAACACTCTTAGTAGATGTATAACATACTGCACAAGGAACATTGTGATTATGCTTTCCTGAAATTATATTATTAACAGCTTCATATTCAGTACCATACATGTAAGAGAAATACTGTGGTACATTTGTCCTCATATATTGAGGGACCTTTGGTAAACAGACGTAGTTAGCTCCTCCTCCTGTATGATCCCATCGACTGCCTCCAG